GAATACTTGAGAAAACACCAATTAGTTGTTGGGAACGATAAACTATGTGTGGCCAGCCACAACAGCCTGTCAGGGCAAAGAGATTTTACCAAGGATTTTTAAATTCCTTCTTGAATGCAGCACTGCAATCCCTGCCTTTTCTTCTATCCTGCAGGTTTGATACAAGTTTGGCAGTGGCATGCAGAAGGGGAGGACTTGTTGCATTTCTGAACCAACTGCAGACTGGTTGAGGCACTCGATTTACCCCATGGAGGGTCAGCAATCCTGCTTGTGCAGCACCCCTTTGGTTCCTAAAAAACCCTGGTATTCACATAGGGTTAAAAAGCAATTTCTGCTATGACTGCCTGTAAAACAGCTTGGCTCTAACCTACTATATTTTTTTTTAAAGTAAAAGTATATCCCTAAATACTTGATCTCTGAACTAGCAATACAATCCCCTTCATAACTGCTTTGTTGGTGCTTTTCCAAGAGGCATTTTTTGCTTCTATAGCAGGAAAAGTTGGAGACAGTTGATGATAGTGACACTTCCCCCACTGCCACCTTACACACACACACACACATACAAAGACACTTCCCTAAACCCGCTGGAATTTTTAACCTACTTCAGCCTTTACCACACAGAGAGTTTTTGGTCAACGTATCCCATGAGTCACTATACACAGTTTGTTTTCATAGTGCTACCTTCTCTTTTTTTTATTGTTTGGTTTGGGTTTTTTTTTGCAACAGTAAATAATCATACCCAGTTCTCCCCCAGGACAATCCCAACCTCACATATTTTTCTCAAACTCCCCAGTACCTTAATCCTCTTTTCTAAGTTGGAAAATCCTAGAGACTAACTCTCCCTTCTCCCTTTGCCATTCCTCAGAATTCCTTCCAGCTGTGCTATCAAAGATTAGTTACAGCTGGGATTCAAGGTCTAGGCACATCATGGTGATGGTAGAGATTATTTCTAGTAATCTTATTATTTTTATAATTACTAATAACTCAACACTTTTTGGTAAGCCATGGCTCCTTAACTACCATCTCTATAAGGTGATGTACAGAAACCCAAAATTTCCAGACAGAAAGCAGATTCAATTAATTTTATCATTGTATGAAAAGCAAGACCTGCTTTTCTTCAGAATTAATGTTTACATTTAATGTCTTGAATTTCATCTGCCCCTGGGAATCCAAATCTTTCCCAAAACAAATTATCAGCAGATATTCCCATATACAACACCATTTCAAATGTCTCTACACCATTGTAAAGAATTTTCATCTTGGTGTAATTTATTTTTAAACAAAAATCAATACCATTATTACAAGAAACTTTGTTATGAATTTTATTTTCAAATTACAGCCATTACTATTGCAACCAATTCAATAAATAAAATAAGATGATCACTGAAGTCCACTTGTATCAGTGACCAACCATCACGAACATACTTTTTCCAAAAAATGGGGGAAGTGGACAGAACTTCCAGCAGCATTTAAGTTCCACCAGTAGAACCAGAGGAAATAAAAGAGACAGATCAATTATCTCCAAAAACCCCATCCAAAATACTGATTCACCACCAAAATAGAGTTTCTTTAGTTAGCAACATTTACAAACAAAATCAGAGGCAGATGTTTCAGCCCAACAGAGGATGTTAGAGAACTTATCTGTCACTGATGCTCTTGCCAAGACACCTGAAATGTGGTGAACAAGGTACAGCAATCCTTCTTTCAGACACAATGAAATACAGCCTGAGTACATTTCAGACTGGATGCAGGACATGACCTTTCCAATACTCCATAAAAGTTTTTACATGAGTCAAGTGAAGAACACAGCTACAAAACAGCAAAACTGGATTGAAAATTCAAATTTAAAATTGAATTTCAAAAATCCAAAGAGATCAAGTAAAGCACAGCCAGAAAATGGAAATAATGAACTGGTTAGAAGCTCCCAAAGTAAGAGATCACAGAAAATATGTGAGTCCTGAGTTGAAAAATCAAAAAGCTTGAACATAATTTCATTATGACAGCATGTAGTTCTGCTTACATGTGTTAAATTTCCTTCTTTTCTGTAAGGCAACATGAGATAATTGCCTGGACAATATCAAATATCCAGTATTACAGGGAAAGTAGTTTTGGACAAACACCTTGCATTTACAGCCTATGTTTGCTGTCTTGGCTTTGGTAATTTCAGCACACACTTAGAGCTTACCCAGCTCGAGCCATAAAGTGGTCCCCAAAGCCCCTGAAATGCAAGAAAAAGCTGCCACTGAAACTTTGCCATTATATGATTATTTACAATCCTTATGTACATACAGTGGCATTAAAACTCCCTATAAAAATGCAGTGCCTGAAAAATCTACCTGATTATAATAAAATTCTCATATGAAGATCCTTTTGGCATGTTGAGGGCAAGACAAAAAACAGATTACTCTGTTTTTGACCTAATAACACATTCCTCACAGCATATAGATATCTCTTTTTTTAATTACAAAGAATTTCCTTACCATTAAGAGCCCTGATAACCACAGCTCTGAAAAAGTCTTGCTGAGGCAGTTTAAGGCATTATTGCCTCCAGCTGTCTCTCACCCCACCTGTAGAGAATGACAGGCACATGCATAAGTTCAGCCCCACACACCAGTACCCAAAATTGGGTTTGTGCAGAGCTGCCAGTGACCCCAAACAGCTGAGCTATGAGGAGGTTCAGCCAGTGTCCTTCCCAAAGCAGAACAAATCCACAGAAAACATCATTTGTCCATTTACAATTCTAAATTTATTTGCTTTGTAAGAAGGACTTTTCCATAATACCTGCACAAGCATAAACAACACTGGAGAGATGATATAATGACTGGAAACCCTCACCTGAGACAGGTATTTGAAGATGTTCCTGCTTAAAGTGTATGAAATTTGAAGTAGAACATGATTTCACAAGTAACTTGGTACCCTCTGTTTTACTTGCCCAAACCACTTCCCTGCCCCTCATTTAAATATCTCATCAAATGGACTTTTTCCATTATGCAAAGAATTTGTGCTTACTGAAATAATATACAGAAGAAGAAAAAAAAAGACATTTCATTTAAAGGAAACAAAGAACAATGCTGTCAAGTTGCAGAAGCGCCCTCAGATGACGACACTGACACCTCTGAGCTTCCCCTCCTCCAAAGTTTGGTGTTTGTCTCTTTTTCTTACAATGCCAGCTGTCAATTTTAGATTGTGAGCTTTGAGGCAGGGATCGCACAGGAAAAAATAAACTCTTTTCCCTGGTAATCACTGCACTTAGAAAAGTTTCCTTTTGCTCCCAGTCACCTTTTTCTTGTCCAGACGGAGTCACACAGTGGTTAAAATGCAACCCTGCAGCCCTGCTGTCACTGTCTGCTCCAGAGGGTTTAGGCTGGCAGCAGGCAGTGGAAGAGTGGGATAAACTCCCAAAGATTTTACTGCCTGAAATTACTTCTCCTAGCCACCCATCAGTGCAGCTGAAAACACTAAGGTTTCCTTATATTCATCCTACCTTTCACAGTACTTGCGCAAAGGAGGAGCCTAAAGAAATTATGGATGTAAAAATGAGGGGTTTGCAGTCTTTTCCCAGGGCTGTGCTGGGGCCTTGGGCCATTAACAGCTTCTTCTCCATTCACATCCCACTCCTTTAGCACTTACAGCTCGTGGAGCTCAGGGGATTGTCCTAATATCAGATGGGGAAAGAAATAATTTCTTTACCGAATGACTAGGGAAAAAACCATGTAGGAAGCTCCTCTTAAATACCCTTCTACATTGCTTTCATGCCATCAACAATAATGGCATAGGCTTTGGTTAAAAATGCTGAGATCTATGTATAAATTCAGAACATTCTTAGAGAAAAAATTGTAAATGTCTGTGTAAAACATGGGGAGGAAAATCAGGTTTACTTGAACTCTGTATTTGGTTTAGCAAAAAACATGTAATCTTTGGAAAGTGCTTCCTTTAAGCAGTGTTCCAGGCAATGCTGCAAATGACAGGAAAACACCACCTCAGTGATGCTGCCCTTTCTGGAAAGGTCTGCTAATTAATTGGCACCTGGTCAACAAAGCAGTGTTTGGTTTGGCCACTCAAATGACATACATGAAAATTTTCAGGGGAAAAAACTCAACAGAATCAATCAAATTCAGTTCTTCAGCAGAAAGATGCACCATTCTATCCATAAGAAAAAGAGCCAGAGGGAACAGGGGGCAGACATGAAGTCAAACCTTGAACTTCTCCTTTTGGTGACAGGGACAATAAAAGTGAAAGATCTGCAAATCAGATGGGGAGGCCACTGCCACCTTCAGTGACATTCCTCCCCCACAGCAACACCTGGCACTGCTCCCTGGCACACTCAGCTCCAGGACTGGTGCTGCCCAGCGTGCTGCAGCTGAGTGGAAAGCTGCTAAAGGGATATTCCCACCCTGGGAACAGCAGGGCTTGGGCTCAGAGATACAGACCCCCAGCATCCCAACAACAGCTTTCAAAAAGCAAGGATCTGTATATTCATGTGCTTAGCTACAACTGTAATATGGAAATATAAAACAGCTCCATGTTGAAATGAAATAGCTGTTCAAATAATTCATAATTAAATCTCGATTTCTAATATTGACTGCTAAGTTGATTTACGCATAAAAGGACATTTTACTGCTTTTGCTGAGTGTAAAAACTAAGTGTACTCAAGGATATTTCATTGTCAAACACTAATGAATGAAAATTAATCACAAAACCAATAAAACCATTATTTTTTAAAGGTCTTACTAAACTACCTGTGAAAGGCAGCTCAACAAAGCAACTTTTCCCAACTTTTCAACAGGGAAAGCACAAAGATTGCACAAAAATAAAACTTGCATAGTAATTCATGCTTTACCAAGTATGATTACAAAATGGATTCTTAAGCAGAAACAGGGAAAGAATATCTCACTATAAGACAATAGGTAAACCTTAAAAGATAGCAATGTGTTTTTCATCACTACAGTTCCATTTCCTATAAAAAATAGTATTTTAAAAAGAAATTTACTTAGCCAGAAAATAAAGGAGCACATAGAATTTAATGAAGAAAAAAATATTTCTCTGGTAGATCTTTTGCTGCCATTACACAGTTTTTTGGACTTTTCCTTAGGCTGCAGACATGAGGTTCCAAAAATGGTAAGGTAATCGACCTTGACATTGCCCCTGGTATGCTGCAAACATAAGTATGCCAGAGAAATGTAACAGCACAACATAATCTACCTGCCTAAAGGAGTTCTTTGTATATGTATTTATATTTGTTTTGTTTATCTATGAGGCACATAGCTTCAGTTTTTTGTTTAGTATTTTACATCTGTTTCCTTTTTATTACCTGTATTATCAACAATAATTTTTTCACATCGGCTTCTATACTGAGTGTCTGGTTTCCTATTCACCAGGCACATGCAAGTGGGAGCCAGCTTTATTTATCATTTTTTATCATTATTTATCATTGTTTAATCACGTTTTCCTACAAGAAGATGCAGCTTCATATAATGACAGAACAAAAATCAAAAGTGACAGATTGGGTGACTGGAATTTCTGTGAGTTTTTAAATCCATTAAAATGCCCAGCCTTCTAATTCTGGAAGAGAATTTGGCACCAGCTGGAATCCTCAGACAGCATTAGTAAACAGTAACAAAACCTCCCTCAAATAAAAATTTTAAATCATGAGTTTAGAAAACACTTCCATAAAATGAAACATACATACTAAATTTAAAGATTCATGTGACTGACCAGGTCAAATCCTGTCACCTGGGAAACAGAAAGAAGAAAAGCAATACTTAAATCTGCTGAGGATGTTTCATTCGACAGATTCCAGGAGACTTATAAAGAATAGGGTGAAATGTGACTTCACAGGAGCTGAAATTCAGAGTCTAGGGAAGCAAATCAGTGTTCCTGCACCAACAACATGAAGCCAGTGTTCAAAAAACCAAAAAACTCTTAAAAGAGGGTGAAGAACCCTGGAACTTACAAGCTGGTTCCAGAGTACTTGATTTCTTTCATATACTCTCCCTCCAAGAACAGCCTGAGGAAAAAGGCAATCTCTAGTTCCACCTGACAAATCCACAGACTAAACATGATGGCAAAGAGGAACATATTGCTGACTGTGCCTCTCAGGGTGAGCAAACTTTGTGGTGCAGCCCCTGAGGCCAAGCCCTACCCCTGACCCACCATTTTCAGGCAATAAACCTTGAAGTAGCTGCACATCAACTGCGCTTGCTGAGGTAACACAAACAGGGTTCAACTAAGGCACAACTGAGCCAAATGAGTTTGCTCAGGTGTTTGACACATCTGGAGTTACAGCACCACAGTCACAACACGTCTGCTGCCCACAGCCTGGGTTCAGTCAATGTCAGTTTGACTTTAAGCACCTGCTAGAACTTTTCTTGGATTCCAGGAGGTCCCACAGAAACTTGTCACCAGAAACGCCAATGAAAATCAGAAGCTCTGAGTGGCCAGCACTGGACCACAGATATAAAATTACTTTACTGGTTAGAAACCAGCCCTAGGAAATATGAGAAATAAGATATTTCATTGCTCCTTGTCTAAGCCTTGCTTGGAAAAAAACCGACAAAAATGACAAAATAAAATGAATCCAAGTTATGTTTGTAGGAAGAGTTGGAGTTATACAACCATACAGAGCAGTAGTGAGCCAAAAGAGCCTCCTGAAATAAACATGAACTTGTCAGAAGAAGTCAGCAAATACATTCCTGTAGACATGGAGCATTATGAGATCCATGCAGAGGACACTACTAATTTTTCCCTAATATCTGTGAGAGCTGGGTGTCACCAACAGCTCAGCTCAAGGAATGTTTCAAGTCATGTTTGAATCTACTTTGAAGATGTACAATGCCTGAAAACAGAATACAACCATTTAAGATATTAAGTAAGCAGCTTTGAAATTTGAATTTGAAATTGTTCACTCAAGTCCTAACCCAAAAGGACTCTCCCAGAGAACAAAGCGTAACATCAGGGAACTAACGCCAAGGCTGAGTTTGATTGACATAATACTGCTTTATTCCATTGTTTCAACTTTCTTACAGGTTTTAAAAAAATGTATAGGGGTTCAGAACCACCTCAACAGAACAAAGAGTACAGTATTAAGGGAGCTCTAGAGTCAAACCACAAGTGTGCACACGTGGTCAGCTTTCATTACAAAAAGTAATAGGCACAATCTTTACATACGCATTTTGGTGAAAGAAGGAATAATAGTGCAGTGTTAAAAGGCACCAATAATCAATAATTGGGCCTTTTTTTAAAAGCCAATAACCATCTAAGAAAATTACATTTGGTTCAAAGTTATAATTTAAATATTGTATTGACTGGCATGCATCTGAACCCCTGGCAATTTATTACACAAACCTTATGTGTGCCCTTGCAAAATCAAAAAGATTTCATCAGTGGACCTGAAAGTCAGTTCAGTACAAAAGGACATACCAAAGCTCTCAGCCTGTATTTAACACCAAACTGTCTTGTTTACCTCCTCTGAGAACACTCGTCTAACAAAGAGCTGCAGAGAAGCATTTCTCTTAAAGCAAGTGTAAATTTTTTGATCCTGTAGCATTGACTACTCCATGTGCTATGAAAACATTAGGCACAGACCACAATTTACGTTTTCTCTTAAAAAAAATACGGTATGTGCAAATGAGGTTCACACAACAGACTGACAGCTACAACAGTAAGCTCTTTAGATTTCCCACAGAAAAGGGTCAATTATTTTTTAATTTTCTAAGTAGTGCTGCACACTGCTGTGTGCCATTACCATATCTGCATTAGGAGCACCTGTGGAACCAGTAAGGAAAAACTTCAGTACACCCTAAAGGCCTCTACACCGACACTGTGTGCTGACTTAAGTGGGTCAAGAGAGTGAACGACTGGAGAAATCACTGTACATGGGCAGCTGCAGCCAGCCAGGGAGGGCCATTGCTTCCTGCAGAAAGAATGGTTTGGAACTCAGGTAACCTCACAGGTGCCCTCAAACTCACCCACCTGCACACAATGGAACAGAGGGATGCACAGCATGGGAAAACAGGGGAAATGAGAGGGAGAGCTTCTGTCTAAGTTGTACCACAAGGTGCCAGTTTATCCCAAAGCATCATGCTCAGGGTAGGGTTTATGCACTGCAGATTCTTTTGTACAACAGAAAATTGTACAATATGTGAGCAAAGATAGAGCTGATTATTACCTGCAGTATCTACTACAGTCCTCAGGTATATAATTTATGGATAGCTGCATACTGTGGTGTTGATTGCTTCCTCTTAAATGCTTTAAAATTCTGAAGGCTACAGTATACTCTGACACAAAGACAACTTGTCTATGAGGGGAAAATATAAGGTAGTAACTAACTAATTTGTTTTACGAGGAACCTCCTCTGATGTGCTAGTTACTTCATGCCCTTTAGAAGATTTTTATTTCTGACTTTCTTCATCATCTCTGTTGAATTGTTCTCCTGACAATTTCACAGGAGTTCAGTGACCCTTCTTACAGCTGCCTTTGCCTTTTCCAGGATCCCTTTTAAATTCACTCTAACACCATGGCAAGCTGTTCAAGTAAACATTTCTCTCTGGCAAGTTTCCAGATACCACAAATACTACCAAAACTCAGCATTTGATTACATGCACCAGTTTTCTTTAAATGGAGCACGAATTAGCCCGTTTCCTTGGCTTAGGGTCCCGTACATCCCTGTCTTTTAAACACACACAAGATGAACATATTGTCTCTGACAGTCTCCGTAGTCCCAGCCTGAAAACGCTGTTGGAGAGGCTATATATCACACAGTTGCAGAAACTATTGCTTATAGCAAGCCACGTAGTTAGGAAGGAGAGCGCTGGGTTTTCCAAGACCCTGGAGCTCTCCAGCAGAAAGTATATGATATAAGGGAGCCAGAGCACGTAGAACACGCTGGTTATCCGGAACAAAACCATGGCATAGCGGCGGTCAGGGCTGTGCCCGGCCTCCCCAGCAGCGTCCCCTTCGTGGTTAGGAAATCGAGCTCTGCGGTCACTGATCTCTTTGGTGTGCTGCCGGCAAATTTTAAAGATGTGGAAATAGGTGAAACATATGACAAAGGCAGCAGGAGCGTATAGTAAGCACACGATAAAGCCAGTAAAGTAGGCATTAGTTAGCCAGGAGGTAGCACACCATTCAAAAATATCTCCATGGTAACCAGGTTTTCCCCAACCGAAAAAAGAAGGCAAGAAGATCAGGCAAGAGTATATCCAGATGAGACTGATGCAGATTCTCAAGCGACAAGGAGTGACCAGTTGGTTATAGGAGAGAGGCTTGGTAATAGCGAGATAACGATCCACACTGATGCAAGCAAGACATGCCATAGATACGCTTTTGAGCACAGAGATGATGTATCCAAAAACTTGACAAGTCAAGGACTCGTGGACACCTGTTGAGTAGTGGAGCAGTGACAAAGTGGGAACCAAGCAGCTGACTCCAACAAAAAGATCAGCATAGGCCATGGTCTGGATAAAATAGCTGGTGGTGTAATGATGCAGGAGTGGAGCGCAGTGGAAAACAAATATCACAGTTAAGTTACCCGCAATAATTAAAAATGTTAGCAAGACAATAACGACTGTCTCAAGGATACAGATGTCAACTGCATTGTAGTGACCAAATCCAAGAGGGCAGGAGAGGTGCTCAGATATGTTCATAACACTACTGCTCATATTCAGAGTCCTCCATTCAATCCATCGGGACTGGTTCATGTTTTGTGCTTAGGGAACAGTGCAATCTGAGCCTTAGTGAGCAGGTGACCTGCTGAACAGCAGCTAAACTCTGCTTCAGCGTCTCACGGTCTCTCCTTGCAGACACTGCCAGTGCTTACATGGGAGAGGATTAGAGTCCCATAGCTGTTGATGCCTCCTCAGCATCAGTGCATCACCTCTGGCACACCTTGGCTTTAAGGAAAGAACGAAAGAAAGAAAGAAAGAGAAAGAAAGAAAAGAAAAACAAAAGCCAGAAAGAGAAAGGCCACTGATCAGCTCCTCCAGTGCTCTTGACCCATCTTTAGCAAACACAAGGCACTTCTAAAACAAACAGAAATAAAAACTGACAAAAGAGACACATTCATTTCCCAGGGAAGGAGGGGAGGGAAATCTCTGACTTATTTTCCTGAGAAAGTCGTTTACTTTGGAATATACTGGGGAGAGGGAGAGGAAGGGAAGGAGGAACCTCAGTACAGCTCAGGTTTCCTGGACCAGCAGTTACTGGAGATAATCTTTACATCTTAGTTTAAATCACAGACTGATTGGAGATTAAAGGAAAAAGTTCATCCTCTAATGCTGTCTTTTTCTTGTTTGATTCAGAAGATGGTACTCCATCTTATCCATGCTATTCATTGGAAAGGTAAGGAAAACATCTTTGTCAAGGTTAATTCCAATAGACTCACCACTATTTGGGTATGAATAATGAATTTTATTTAGGGGGAGACAGTGGGGGATGAAGGAGATTTGTCCTCTGGCTCCCAAGAAAGAAAACATACATCTCACATACAATTAGGAAGATCATGTCTATTCATTTAAAAATGAAAATAATTTAAAAATAGATTTTGGAAATTCATGTCGATATTTACAGTTCCTTTAAACAGTTATAGTCCATTACAATTAGGAATGCCAGAATCATAATTCAGTGTCCCCACAGACAAAATGAATCCTCTTGAATTTAATTTCAGCAATGGCAATTTTTAAAAAATCATCTTTAGAAACTCTGCACATCTACTACAGTGGATCAGCACCCAGGAGTTCATAGGTATATCCATGATATTGCTCACCTCTGTAGCAACAACTGAATCATTTCACAAAACCCCACACAATGAGCTCAAAAACTTCCATCTGCATTCTGCTGGGAAGCTAATGAAATGCTGATTTGACTAGAAAAGCTGCCATTGTTTACTACTCCATTATTCTGTTGCTCAGCTTCCTCTTCTCAGGGGTTTAAGGTTTCTATATTTATTAGATGATCTGCATAATAAATAGCTGCTTTAAAAAATTGTTCTTCTATTTGCAGGACATTACCTTGTTCATTTTTTTCTCAGCTATGGAGAGAGAAAACATTAAAAGCATCTTCTCTGTTCAGTTTTAAGTAAATGCTTGATTAGTTCAGGAATCATTAGGCAGGTAATTAAATGTATACAATCTTGTTTTTTCAAAGGCCCCTAAAATGTTAAAACCATCATTAATCCTAGAGTTCCTGAGACTAGAAGACCAGCAGTGAAAATTAATGAATCCACATAAAATCATCTCCAAGGTCATTCAGCTGGCATTTGCTTTAAGTCTCTTTAAAAGTACCAGGATCTCTCTGATGTTTCTGATAGTCCTTGCCGTGTCTTCGGGAGGAATTTCAGATACTAGAAAAGCCAAATGTTCAATTCTGTCGCAGCACTTTGAGAGAAAGCATTCTTTTTGGAGTTAATTTCCTGTCGTGCACCGCCACGCTGTACAGAAAGTCCTTTCAGATTTTATAACATCCCCGAATATTTCCGCCTATTTGCTCCCTTTGTCTATAAGCACCAGAGCACGTATACAACCACTCGTTTCTCCAATTCCCTGCTAAAGCAAGAGAGAAGCTTTCTCACCTACACGCATCCTCACCAGCCGCTATGTCCAATACTTGTCAGGGAGTCAGTCCTGCTACCGCGGTGCGGCTGCCGCTGCCTGCCTGCTCCCCCCGTGCGATGATTGCCTGCACCTGAGCCCGCTCCTCCTCCTCCTCCTCCTCCCCGCCGCAGCCCGCCGGGCGCTGGAGCGGTGCCGGCCGCTCCTCTGCTGCCGGCCCATCCGATGGCGCCACCGCTGGCACCGGGACCGGGAACGGCACCGGGACCGGGAGCGGCACCGGGACCCGGCCCCACCGAGCCGGGCACCCGCGGCCCCCGAGCCGCTGCGCTCCCGGTGCCTCAGGAAGAAGCCAGCGCATCCCTCCTAGAGAGATGCGCGTGGATAATCCATAACTTAATGAACTGCCGTCGTCGCCCCACCGAAACTGTTTGCATAAACAATACCGTGTTGTTAACTGGGCGCTCACCTTTCAGGGATCACCTGCTGAGGTTTAGCTTGGTGAAATATCTGCTACAGTGGCACGCAAATTGTCTAGTCTTCCTTAAAAGACAAAAATGACAGCCCACTTTGTAATTACATCCCCAAATTAATTACTTCCAAACTTAACACAGATATGTTACAAAACTCACCTGTACTATTTTGATACTGTACCAGTATTACCAATACCCTAATAGCTTCAACATCAGTTTAGATACAAATACTTGTAACACATTATTTTCCAAACTGAACCAGTTAACTCGGCTCTCTACTCCTGCAAAAAGATGCAGCTATTCCCTAAGTTTTGGTTACTTTGTGCTTCTAAAAATAAATTTGGTCACAGAAGTACAAGCATCAAAGTTATCTTACAGACACTCCATGCATCCTTAAACACTGAAACAGCAAATTTAAATACCAAAACACCAACTGCAGAACAGCATTTTGAGCTACTGACCAGCAGAAGACTTGTCTAGGAGGCTTTAACCAACCAAGCCATTAGAAACTTAAGTGATTTAAGTCCTTCTAGCTCCACGGCAAACCAAAGGCAAAATTTTAATAAGCTGCTCCTGAGTTAACATCTTGTATTTCGAGTATTGCCTGGAGCGAGTGTCCAAGTCTGAATGACAAGTCTGTAGCAATGTGAAGCAGCACAAACTGCAGCAGTGTAAGAGTGGTTTGCAGCAAGGGCATGTGATCATTCCAAAGTCTTCTATCAGAGCATTTAAGAAAAAATTAAACTATCTCTGATACCTCAGAATGGTAAATGGCTGTAAAAACAGACTTAATGACTAAATTTAGACCCTGAGCACAGCTTTAAGCCCCAGTTATCCATACCAGAGCAGAACAATAGGAAACAATTTTTATTCCTCCTCTTCCCACTCCTCCTGTGGGGGAGGAGGAGGAGAACAAACAGCGTGCACAGGCACGGCAGTGACCAGCACTTCTCCCACTTCTCCTTGGGGCAGATCGTGGTTGGCACCAGGGATGTGAACAGCCAAAACACCTTAAAACGCACATCAGGGAGCCCCAAAGGTACACAGGGGCACGAGATAAGCAAAGGCACAGCCTGACAAAGCAGATCGCAGGAACTCAGTACATCCTGCTCCACTCAGACTTAAGGACTGGTAACTACTGAAGCTTCCAAATGTCACAGTAACCATCAAGTAAGTCACCTTGGTCTCAGGTCAGCCCCAGCTGGTGCCTGCTGTTTGTGCCCAGAGTGCTCAGCTCTGAGAACAAGCTCTCCTGGCAGCCATACATTTCAGGTCTGCTAGGAGAAGTCCAGGCTCTGCTGAGCAGATAACAGGAAAATCAATGGCAACCTCTGCTGGCTGGTTCTAGATGCAGGTAAAAATGCATCTTCTAAAGAAATTTTAACTGAAGGGACAAAGGGGTTCAAAAGCAGGGAAGTTTGGCTTCTTTGGGAATATGAGCAGCCTTCCTTCACTACCAAAAAACCAGTCATGCTGCAAGCTGCCATGGCTTTATCACCTCAGCCACTTGTTGTAAACTGCACCATGCTAATGGCACTAAGTTGTACTGTTTTATGTATATTTCAAGGCAAGTGAAAAGTTATCAGGAATCAGCTAGTCCTGATGAAACTATGCTGTTACAGAGGGAATTTTACAAAATGTAGCAATACCAGAATGTTAAATCAGAGACAACACGTTAAAAGCTCTATGGGAAGTTTTTTTTATTTTTGAGATTAGGGGCACATTTGGGCCTCTGGCACAGTTTTAAACAAAACCTGCTTCAGGATTTTTTCTAATTTGTGTTTTAAGAAAAGGAAGTGAGAAAGGCAATTTTTCCAGTAGAACTTTTCTCTTACTGTCATCAAGGCAGCAACCTACATGGTGCACATGCTCCCACAGCTGGTTACATCCAGCTGGTGGACTGAGCACTCTGAGCCCAACAGAAGGAGCAATCCCTCACCTTCTTTATAAATTACATCAGCTAGAAAGAATACAAATCACCATACAAACCAGAAGACTCACACCATCTGATCCTGCTGAAAACAGAGGGGATATGGCAGGAGCATGAGCTTTGTATATGCAAAGCAAGGCTGTGAAAGCAGTGGTGATGTGTGACCCTGAAAGGAAACCAGATAAAGCTTCTCAGACTGAAAAAGTCCATATGGAAGGAGATTTAGACGCTCCAAGCAAGAAAACAATCTATTAGTCATTCTGTTTGAAAAGGAATAGCAATATTTGTTTCCTAAATCCTTTGTTGTAAGGAAACAAGACTGATAGAAGCAATCCCTGCAGTGCACAAAGCAGCATCTCAATCACACCACTCATTTCTAGTTTGAAGTCTTCCCTTGTTAAATTATTGGATGGTCAGCTGGATTAAATGGGCAGCAATAATTTCTGTAAAATCTTTCTGAAAGGCATTGATGAGAGCAAGGAGGTCCAGCTGAGTGTGGGATGAGGAACACAGTAGTTATTCATTTAGATGCAGACCTGAATGACAGTGCTGATGTACATACCAGCTCATCAACTTCTATTTTTTTCTGCCCAACTGCTTTTTCTTTTGTTATTTTACAGTATTTTTAATATACTTTCTCCTAAGCCTAAAGAATAAAGGTGTTTCAGTTTGCTTTATTTTTAATCTTAACTACCTCTGGCATTTACTTTTATGTATCTTATGGACATCCTGGTTTTGTTTTTAATGCTTGCAGAATAATTCTATTCTGTAAAGCTGGTATTTGTAGTGCAGCTTAAGAGTAGCAAAGACCAAAGGAAAAATCATTTGTTGCCTTAAAAATTGTGTGTGTGTGAATGCATAGATAGGGTTTTCTACATCATACTGGTGTTTGAAGTTGCTCTATGAAGTCATATTAGTGGTGTATTTAAGGCAGAAATCTGTTCTATTTGTTATTTGGAATATAAAGCCTCCTCCCCAGATCCACCCACTACAGCTGTCTATTTAAAACCTGCCGGAGAGCTCGCGCTTCCACAGAACACACGGGGATTGTGACCTCAGTGCAGGCATATGATGAGATATAATACATATATTTATAAATATATACATTAAAAAAAAACATTCTTTTTTTTCTCAAAACAAGCTTAGGCTTCTCAAACCCCTTGTACCTTGTGGATACCATCTGACCCCATGTCTTGCTCCAAAGGGGAGGCCAAAGTTCTACGTCAGAGCCAACACCAAATTTAAGCCATGTTGTGCTGGGCTCTTCATTCAGCTGAGCTATGAACATTTCCAAGGATGGAGTTTTCACAGCCTGTCTGGGCCCCTGTTCCAGTGTCTGACCACTCTTCCTGTGAGTCTCACCATCAGCTCAGAATTCTTCTTGCTGTGTTTTGTCCTCATCCTTATCAAGACTAAATACACTTGGGCCAGTGGCAAAAATGTACAAGCATCAGCTCTGAAGAAAACAGTATATCATAGAATATATATATATGAATATATATATATTCTACATATAGAATATTCTGAAGGAATATATCTATTCTATATATATTTTTATATATTTTATATATACATATTCCTTCAGAATATGCTGAAGGAAGCAGTATATTATAGAAACTTTTAAACCATTTCTCTACCTGTGAGACTCATTTTTCAGTTTTGCTATCAGGGACTAGTTCCTTTCCTTCTCCCTCCTACCCTATGAGCCTAAAGAATGCCATAAATCATTTTACAGCGTTATGGCTCACGTACCTGGTGCTGCAGCAAAGATCAAGAGACACCAGGTACACAGCTGCAGCTCTGAAATGCAGATGCTCTTGTGGAGCTCTTACCTCTTGGGTACAGGGAAAAAGCCAGCAGAGGCCTTTTCTGCATTAGGATAAAACTGGATTTGGTGGCAGCAGCAGAGAAGGTTCTGTAAGGTGGGGCAGAAGGAAGAGGCTGGTATAATTTAGAGTCAAGGGTGGAGGCAGTTCAGGAGAATGCAAGGGGACAGGAGCCTTCTAAAAAAACAGATGTGAAGGGAGCTAATGTTCCCTTTGCCTTTCACTACTGCTGCTCCAGCAGGCTCAGCCTGATCCTCTGCTGCACTCACAGCTCAGTCCTTTTCCAGCACTGTTTCTAATGATGGAAATATTAGCCAGTATCACACAAGTGTTAGGTAATTAGGATGCTCTGATGCAGAACAAGAATAAATGGGCAAATAATTTTTTCATGTGGATCAGTAGAGAGATATGGGCATTCACATTTGCAAGTTTATTGGGCAGTCTTTTCATGCTGTTAAGCAACAATTACATTAAATGCTTCTAAAGTTTGAAACTTTCAAATTACTCCTAATATTATGCATGTATTTAATAAATATTATGCAAGTTTTTGGAGTAAATTGCTAAAATTGCCTTTCACACATTACTGCCTGTGATCTCATGGATTACATTTCATAGCACCACAGAATGGTTTGGGTTGGAAGGGATTTTATGATCATTTTGTTCCAACCCTCCCCACCACATTGGGGTGCTATTCAAAGATGCATACAAAGCAAATATTTTTCTGAATTTCTGAATTCTGGCTTCCCTCAAGATGATATATATGGTCCTATAACAAATTGAATCCACTTTACGAGCTCAATCCAGATGACAAATACCACCAAACTCCTGTGTCCTGAATCGATAGAAATAAAACTCTGTGCAATAAACTATCAATCAAGAAGTGAATTTACTTCAGGGAAATGC